ATGACACAGTAATGGTGGACGCATGTCACTGTACACTTGTCCAAACCCAGAGTGTACAACACCAAGAGTGACCCTCATGTGAACTATGGACTCAGGTAATGATGGTACATTGGGGTAGATTCATTGATTGTAACAAATGTCCCAGTGTGTTGGGGGATGTTGATGGTGGGGGAGGCTGTGTGTGTTGAGGCCTAGGGGTACATGGGAACTCCATACTCTCCTCAGTTTTGCCTAAAACTGCTCCAAAAATGAAGTCTATTTTTTAAACATAAAACTGTGACTTTAGAAACACACACATTCCTGAAAATACCGATTATTTTAGACTCAGGAACTAACCAGTCATGGAAAGTCTAGGTGTTCAGTGCCAATGTCAAGGGCGATCTCCATACTTGGGTTGAAGGCCAGTCGTTTGAGGGGGCTTCCAGTAGTCTGGGGACTCTATGGCTTAGGAAGGAAAAAGGGAGTGAAAACGTTCAGGAGGACAACACTGAAAGCAGGAGGCTGTGAAATGGAAAAATGGGAGGCAGGTTTCTTTTTGTGAGATGGGTTCTGTGGAAGCCCTGAGCTGCCTCTTATCCTTTTAGTATCTTTATTCAGAATGAGACCAACAGCCCAGCCAGTGTCTATAAATAAACGGCCCATGACGATTTGTCCCTCCTGGTTGCAATTGTCCAAACAAAGGAAAGTAGCCCGTTCCCGGCCACGCTGAAGCCTTGGCAGCACTTGAGTCCCCAGAAAGAGATTTTAGTGGTTGCCGTGCAAGAATCCTCAAAGGCATTTCAGCTCCAGTCCCCAGCCACAATTTAAGGATCAAGTCAGCCAAACATTTGTGTGCCTAAGTGGGAGGAGAAAAAGCAGAAGGAGGAAGGCATTTCTTAGTGCCCTGGGGACCCAAATGAGAAACCGTCTTTCAGCGGTTTGATTTAAAAAGAAAAATCACTTTCGTGGTGCCACACAGTTGTCCTCTGAACTTCTTGAGATAAGAATGCCAGGGCTGCCCTGCAGCGCCTGCACTTCCGTTCAGCCCACTGGGTAACGCAATCCAGCTTCTGCCTCCTCCACTCCTGAGAAACTGGGCTTCTGAGGCCAACAGCAATGTCCCATTTGGCAGACGGAGGGGCGCCTTCATCCTTGGTGCCTCTGACTGCGTCTTCCTGTCCCTGCTCCCACTTGCTGGCTACTTCTTGTGAGTTTCTCTTGCTGGTTGCAGTGAGCGTGGCTCCCCAAGCAGGTGTGCCCCCAGCACTCTCCCTTAGCTTTCTTCTCGTCTCAAAGTCCTTCTTTGCGCCTGTCTTCATACAGATTTCCTGCAGCAGAGCCTGAGACCAGGGCAGTGACACAGGGCCCGCCTCTCAGGAGGACTCTGTGCTTGGTTCCATGTTCAGCGCTCACCATCTTGAAATTCTTAACACATTTTGAACAAAGTGTTCTCATTTACATCTTGCAGTGAGCTCTGCAAGTTATGTAGTCAGTCCTGCTTGTAGGTACCTTGTTTTAATATATCCCCAAAAAAAAAGGTTATGTGAGCAAGTGACTTAATTTCTCTGTGTCACAGTTTTCTTGGGTTATTAAGAGAATTCAATGACATTGTTCTCGGAAAGTGCTAAGTGTGGTACCTGGCAGGCATACAGCAGGCACTCAACAAGTGCTGGTTAGGATCATTATTGCTTCTGGCTTCTCTCCTCCCTTGAGCTGGTTCCCTCTTGTCATCTCAGTGAAAGGGATCAGCAGTCATTCAAAAGTATAATCTGCTAATCGCTGCTTCCTCCTATTTCCCCCTCTCCACAAACAGACCGTCATCAGCTTCTCTTGACTCTGCATTTGAAATGTTTATTAAACCTTTCCTCTCTTTACCCCTCTGCTGCCCCTCTCCAGACTTAGCTTACATGGGTTGTTGCAATAGGCTCCTAATTAATTTCCTCGTCTCCCGTCTTGTCTTTTTTTTTTTTTTTCCCGAAAACGGAGCCAGTTGATCCAACAGCTGAGATTAAATCAAGCCGATCTAACAGGAATTTACGCAAATGTCTGTCTGTCCTTGAGGACAGAGTGTGCTCTTTCTTTGAAAGAGGGTGGGAAGGAGAAAACCAATATTGGTGCCTACTTGCTTGCCAATCTCTCTGGACACACAGTTTTGCGTGTAATCCTTACCAGGATCCTATTTAGTGAAGATGGTTATCTCCCATTTTGTGGAGAAGAAACTAGGGCTCTGAGAGATGGGTAGAGCTTGGGCAGTTTCACAGTGACAGAGCTGGGATTCCTACCCAGATCTCTCTGACTTGAAAGTATCTGAATACCAGGAAAAGGACATGAGTGGAAAAACCAGTGACATGGGAATAGGACCTGAAGGTTAGTTAACGGTAATGCACCAATGTTAGTTTCCTGGTTTGGATCATTGTGCAATAGTTGTGTGAGATGTTAACACTGGGGAAAGCTGGGGTGAGGCGTATACGGGAAATTGTCATACTATTTTTGAACCTTTTCTTCAACTCTAAAATTATTTCAAAGTAAAAAAATTTTTTAAAATGAAAGAAATACCTGCCCTTTCCACTATGTACTCTGTGCCCTTCACTGAGCTTCTTGATCTTATTGTCCAGAACACCTCCCACATCTCGATGCTGTCCCCTACCCCACCAAGCACACACACACACACACACACACACACACATATACACATGTTCACACCCTCCAGTGTCTTTGAGCAGGAACGTCAGCCCTAGCTGATGCAGCCCTGCCTATGACCTACCCCAAGGCATCAATAGGAATTATGGAAGGAGGTAGTAACAGGGTGCACGTGAGTTACACTGTAACTGTGTTTATCCACCCCCCCCCCGTTGGCTATAAAAATGCAGCCAGTGTTGCAATTTATCCATTGCAAAATGCCTCTCCTGCTCCCCACCCATCCCCTGCATCGCCTCCTCCCCTCTCCCTTTGAGTTGGTGTGCAATCTCGACGATCCAGCCAAATGAGTTATTTGAGATGGAAACGTTAATTTATTTGAGCAGATGGGTGTCACCACTGCTCTGTAAAAAGGTGGCGTTTTGCCGTATTGGCCCAGAGTGCAGATGAAGTCCTGGCTGCGTCGCTGAATCACCGAGTGTGAACGGAATCATATGTTAACGGTACTAAGGGAAATGCCTATTTAAGCCGAGCCCTTCCAGAAAACAAATCATCTTCCCCCAACCCCGATTTTTGTTTTAAATCTGGATTTTCACGTCTCTGATTTGCTGAGGGTCTGAAAAACCTGAAACTCATTATTTCTCGAAGTGTGGTCCAATGTCCGCCCACATCAGAGTCACCCAAGGGTTTTATTAAAAACGCAGATCCGTGGGACCCACCCCTGACCTACAAACCCCCCCAACTCTGAGGGGGTACAGCCTTGGGGATTCTGCAGTTTCAGCAAGCTCCCTGGGTGACTGTCACGCACACAAAGTGGGACCCCCATGGCTGAAATGGTGCCATCACACTGCCCAGGAAAAATCTTCAAAACAAAGCAGAACAAAGCAAGAAACCTTGATATTCAGGGTGGGGTTTTTTTGGGGGGGTGGGAATGGTGGGGGGTGGCAGGATCCTGCTTTCTTTCTACTTTCTCTCCCCTTTCAGATTTTGTGCAAAAAAGAGGAAAGTATTACTTTTGCGGGTGGAAATAAATACATAAAAGGAATAAAAAGATAGCACAAAGAGATTATTTGTGCACTCGAAGCCAAAGATGGTTCGAAAATGTCAGGAATTTCCAAGACAAGGGGTGTCGCTGTCCTTGGCACTGAACTTTCAGTCTCCGCTCTCCTCAAACGCCCTCCCCTCTCCCCCCCACCTCCTCCCCCCTGACCGCTGCCTTCTCTAAGTGTTACATCCAATTTTCTCTTGAATACATGTAGTGAGGAAACTCAATGACTTCCCAAGGGACCTTACTTATACGGAAGAAGCACAACCAGAGGATTTATGGAACGTCTGTAAAATATGTGTGTAGAAACTCGCGACATTTTGATCGCTACCAAGGAGGAAAATGGACAGTTTCTTACCAGTCAGTTTCATGAGCCTTTTTTTTTAAAAATATGGGTTTTTTAAATTAATTAATCCCCCCCGCCCCACCCCACCCTTTGTTAGAAATTCTTGGCACTGACACAAGCCCTGGAGAAGGGAAACATTGCCCACGGGCTGTATGTCCAAACTGTCAGGATTTCAATCCCAAATCTCTGGGGGCAGAGCCAGATTTCATGTGCCTCCCGTGAAGTGGGGAGAGCCTTGTCAGTGTTCACAAGAAGGGGGGTATTTTTGGGTATTAGTAATACTATTGCCAGCGCTTCCCTCACAGCCTCTTGCCACTGGCAGGCGTCACAGGGTCCCAGACAGCCTCTCCTCTGGGCTGCCTCTGCGCCCAGAGCCCTTTTCAGGGTGGAGAAGAGCCCAGGATGTTTGCCGCACAGCACCAGGCCCCGTTCACCTCCAGCGCCCTGGTCCCATGCGGGAGCATCGATTAGGCATCTGGTTTTTCTCAGCCTCCCAGGTTCCATTCCTTCCCCTGGGAATTTGCAACCACAGACAATGAACCGAATGGAATTTCCCGAATGGCTGGAGGAGGAAGAGCCCTCGGAGGGGAATTTGGGCCCTGCATCCTGCTTTTGTCACCGGCTCGGCTCGGACCCTTTCTTGGCCTCAGTTTCTTCATCTGTAAAATAAAGGATCCAGAAAAATCTGCTTTAGAGAAGTATTATGAAGATTAGAGAAAATCTATAAACAAATAGTTGTCAACCAGGAGTGACTTTGCCCCCCCCACCCCCACCCCAGGGACATTTGGCAATGCCTGGAGACCGTTTGGGTTGTCATGACTTGGCAGGGGCGGGGTGGGGGGCAGCTTTACTGGCATCTAAAAGGTAGAGGCCAGGGACACTTCTAAGCATCCTGCAATGCACCGGACAGCCCCCCACAACCAAGAATTGTTCGGCCCAATTGTCAGTGGTGCCACAATTGAGAAACCCTGATAAAAAGGGACTGGCAAACAGTTGGTGATTCAAGTGGTAAAAATGAAAAAGGGTGTGGGAGAGGGAATATAGTAAATGCATTCAATAAACCTTAGCTTTAATTAGTAGACCCAAGATAATTGGTAGTTGCTTCCTGGAATGCCTCGAAGGATTGTACAGCTACAAACAAGCGCAGCGAGACCATGTCATGATTGATTAGTGATGTCTGCCACGAGCCTGGCAGGGGAAGTGGCAGCATGAGTGCAGTGTGTTTTCTGACCCTGGACTCTATGATGCCTCGCATCTGTTTCTGCTCTGACGTTCTGTGATTCTATTGTTCTGATTCTGTGAGTCTATCTATAAAGTTCCGTAGTCAGCATTATTTACAGAATATTTAAGCAGCTCAGGCTCCCGCAGGCTTGCTTGGCAGGGCAGGGGGAGCTAGTGGAGAGCCAGGAAGACAGAGCTGGCTCTGTGCAAGGTATAATGGATAGCTGCCGAGGGGATATAATGTGGGTATGCTATGTGGGCCACTCCCCACTTACCTCCTCCTCCACCCCCACCAAAGTCTTCCCATCTCTCCTAAGTTAAGAATGCTTACTGTTAGAGTCACTCCATTGGATTAAACACTGTCTCCAGGAGGCCATTGTTTAAATGCACGATGAATACCCAGAAGGGATCGGCGTGCAGTCCATCCCTGTGTATTCATCCAGGAAGCCAGTTGTTGCTCAGCAGGCTAGAACTGAGAGGGAGTGGCACAGGAGATAGGTTATTTTTGAGAGCAGGTGAAGAGTGGAGGAAAAACATGCCTTATAGGGCAGGAGTCAGAATCGGTCTTGCACAACTCCAGGAGGCGCTTTTGACACTAACTTAGGGTAACCAGCTCATCCTGGGACTTTCCTGGCTTTAAAACTGAAGATCCCATGTGTTGGGAACTCCCTGTGTCCCTGGTGAACCAGGGCGGTTGGTTATCCTACCTGGAGGCCACGTGGCATGGAAGGAGCTGTGTCGTCCTTGCTGTAATTCATCCCTCTTGCAGCTGCCTGTGTTCTCTTTCTGGACATGTTCCTCCCTTGCCTGTAAGTCCTCTGTGGCTCCCCAGGGCCCGCTGAACTAGGTTGGGACTCTCCCTCATGGTGCTCAAGGTGGCCCCAGACTTGCTTCCCGTTGTCACCTGATCCCCTGCTCTCCTGCCACAAGTCACGCCAACTAGTTGCCATATTGGCGGTAGCATTAAGCCACCACACATTATTCACTCTCTTGCGGTCAAAGGAGGAGCTTTCCTTGAGGGGGAACCCACTTCTTGGAGTGTATTCAACTTGTGTCAGTAGCAAACGAGTTAATTAGCCTGGACTCTGTAGTGTAAAACTCACCTGACCCTCCTCCCACACTCTGCCAGTGAGTTGGGGCTCAGGGATGTGGCTACCACTTTGTGTAAAGAGAAACCCCACGTGCCCCAGGAACCCTTGGAGGATGAGGGTGAAGCCTCCAGGCACATGGAACCACCCTGCATGAGAGTAAAGCCTCCCTTCCTTCCTATACTCTTTAAACATTTCAAGGCAGTTTCATGCACACGCCTGGACAGATCCATCTGTATCTCTGAGCACCAGGCATAGGATAGACGTCCTGCCCATCTGACAGGTGGGAAAACTGAGGTCCCGGGCAGAAGGTCCTACAGTCAGTAAGGAAAAGTTTTTGAACGAGGAGGATCAGGCACTGATGTTTGGTGTCCCTTGGCTGGACTGTAACTCGTCAGTCTTCTGACTTAGGTCCTATGATATTTTCATTCATTCATCAAATGCTTACCATGTGTCAGGCGCTGGTTTGTCTTACAATAACAGCTAGGGTGGGAGACGATCCACCTCCTGCAGGCCCCTCTGCTAAGTTCTGGATGTGCCTTGACTTCAGTGCTCACAGCAGTGCTCTGTAATATGGGTACAATTACTGCCCCAGATACAGGGGAGGAAAACAAGACCAAAGAGGGTGAAGCCACCCTTCCAGGTCAATCAGCTCACAAGTGGGGGCTTTGCCGAGGTTCATCATGGGCACTGGGGCACTGTGTTCCTGTGGAGCCCCCACTCTTATAAGGAGAGAGACATGCCAATCTTCTGAGGCCCAGGAGCAATACTCCAGGCAGTAAGGAAAGCAGACAAATGCTGATGCAGCGTTGTCCGTGGGCCAGGCACACGCACCTATGTTCTCCATGCCGCCTGGGTCGAGTTGAGCCACAGTTGGGTCCAGAAGACATTGAGGCTCGTTGGGTTGACGGGATTGGCCAGAGCTGGTACAGCTGGTGTGCAGGGAGTGGAGACCTGGCCTTGGACGGTGATGCCACGTGATTTGCTTTTTCCGCCGGTTTTGGCCCTCCCAGAGGACGGGTGATGGGGAGAGAGTTTACCGCGCATCTTCAGGTCACATAATAACCACGGGAGCAGTTCTCTCGCAGCTTGGTACGTGATCTTAAGCACAGACTCTCGGGACAGGAGCCAGAAAGCCACTGTCCCACCCAGTGTAGGGAAGGGGAACTGGGGACAGGACCCAGGGCCGGTCCCAGCGGAGTCCCGCCGCCCACAACAGGCAGCAGGTGGCGCTGTGTCCCCAGTTTAACAAGGACAGCGGGAAGGTGGAAAGGAGGGGGGAATCCAGAAAGAAAAACTAGTGAAAAACAAGGATTTAAAAAGAAGAACAATTTGTTCCAAAACATTTGCCTTGTAACGGGGTCATCTATAAATTCTGGGATTTCCTGTTTGCCGCTGGGCAGGCTGGCCAGCGGGCAGGCCACGCTTTTCTCTGCAGTCTGGAAGAATCATTTCAGCCCAGCTCACGAGCTCCGGCCTCCCTTGGCCCAGATTGGCTCTGAAATTTCCCGGCTTTTGTGCCCGTAAGCAGGATCCTGTGACAGCGGGTCTCCTTGAGCTGTGCTCCAGTTTCCATGGGGGTGGGAGGAGGAGTGAGATCATGGTCATTTTTAAAGGAGAGACTGTCTTCATAATCTCCCAGTGTTCTCCAGGCTGCCAAGCTTGTTCTGAGGCATAAAGTAAGAGAAAAGAATAAAATGAAAGAGATGGAGGTGGATCCTTTTATTTTTATTTTTCGTGATGACAATTTTGTGTGTGTCTGTGGTAAGAACGTTTAAGATCTACATTCTTCACAAATTTCAAGTATACAAAACAGTACTGTTAACTAATAGTACTACTAACAGTATTATTAAATCGTTCCCCAGAACTTAATCATCTTTGAACCGAAAGTTTATACCCTTTGACCAACATCTCCCCATTTCTTGTCCTACCCAGCCCCTGGCAACCCAACCCCTGCTGCTGCAAGGTCGACTTTTTTAGATTCCACGTTATAAGTGATACCATGCAATATTTCTGTTTCTGTGTCTGGCTTATTTCACTTAGCATAATGTCTTCCAGGTTCTTGTTGTTGCAAAGGGCAGGACCTCCTTTTTTATGGCCCAATAATACTCCGTTGTGTGTATACGGCACATTTTCTTTAGCCATTCATTTGTCAGTGAACATTTGTTTCTATGTCTTGGCTGTTGTGAATAACGCTTCAGTGATCATGGAAATGGAGATATCTCTTCAAGATCCTGATTTCATTTTCTCTGGATATATACCCACAAGTAGGATTGCTGAGGTCCTATGGTGGTTCTATTTCTAGTTTTTTGAGGAAGGAGGTGGCCCTTTAAAAAGAAGAGAGGTTTCTAGTCAATATGGGGATGGAAACATTTCATTGGAAACGAGACAGAAAATTCTTTTTCCCTGCCCAGTAGAACTTGAACCCAGCCCAGAGCCATCAACAGATGAAAGGCTAAAGAAAACACACCCATCCATCCATCCATCCGTCCAATTGCTCACTCATTCATTCAGCAGACAATTATGGAGACCTACCATATACTTGCAGCTCGTCTTGTTTCACTTGGAGGTTAAGCCTAGACAAGCTCTGTGGTGTCCTCCTGGGGCCAGTGGCACGTGGAGGACATGCGAGTAGCATCTGGAGATGGGAACCAGAAGGTGGGTTCAGGGTTCCTGGACAACAACTGTTGGGACCTTTAGTGAGGATTGCAACACATTTGGCCAGGGTGAGGGGGACAGCATGTGGCTGAAAGCAGAGTTTTTCTCTGAATAAGTCAAACGAGCCCGTCTGGGATCAAATCCACGAGGGCTGGACAATCTGGTCCCAGCAAATTAAAACAACATGGGCACCAGCCAGCTACATTTTTGAAAACAGTATTTGTGTTGTTTTAATCAGGGACACCACCTCCTCCATCCTTTGCCCTGGACAACAAGCTCTGAATTGAAATGGGGCAGGATTTATAAGGAAATAAAACAATTCTTGGGTATCCCGGCAAAAACTCGTTTTCCTTCTCATCAGCTTCACAGTTTAAGGACCTGTCTCTATCTCGTTTTACCCTTCTGTCTGTAGGCTTACGAGGATTAGTGAGCCCGTGCCAAGAGAGTGTCTTAAGTGACACAAGAGCAACACTGCTCTTTCCAGATGCAGCTGAACCTTACCTGTTGCATCCTCCCTACAGGTGGAGAGTCCCTCTTAGCCGTGGTCTTGGTCCCTGCAGTGACTGTGGGCAGCCAAGGGGGCAGCTTGAGCCCCAGGCCAAGTCTGTGTATTAACTGTGTCTTTTAGTTTCTGTATTCTGATGCTCTGAACATCGTGGGACCCTGCTACCCATTCGGGGCTGCCCCTCCCAGGCTTAGCCAGTTCCTAGAGAGAGTGAACAACTCGCTGGGAAGTACACCTTTCAGATGCAAACCAACCAAGCCCCAGCTCATACCTCCCTTCCTCCTCTATATGGAACTCTCACACTCTGAGCCACTATCTACCCACCCTAATGACCCCTGAGCACACAACTTGGGGACAGCTCCTCTGTCCAGGATCTTACAGATTATTCAAACTAGCCCATCCTGAGCCTGCTTACCTGCCTCACTCACTCTTGCCATGAGAACCCACCATAAAAGCTCTTGCCTGTGTTTTTCCGTTGCTGCCTCTGCCTCCTGACTGCCCTGGTGCTTCCCCGTGTGACCCTGCATGGTGGGCTGTGCCTCCTGTCTCTAGGGGTCTGTAAGTACGATAAACCTCCTCCTTCATGACAGCCACTTCTGTGTCTGAGTGTCTACCAAGCCTGCTTAAAGCAAATCCCAGGTGCCCCTAAGACGCCTGCTCTTTCTGACTGTGTGACAGTGGCAGGTCACTGCCTTCTCTTACCTGTGGCCTCCTCTCCTGTAAAACAGGGACAGTGCCATCTTATGGTTGTGAGGATTGAACTGGTGACAGAATTGATTTCCCAGCCTCAAGCAGCATCTCTCCACAGTCCCTCTTTATTCCCTCTCACTGTTCTCTTTTCTTTATCACATTTATTTGTGTTTGAAATGCCTTTCTTTCATGGCCTTCCCTACTAGAATGAAAACTTTTGTTCCCTGCTGAATACCTGGACCGGTGCCTAGACCAGTGCCCGGCACACAGTAGGCGCTCATTTCACAGTGTGGAAGGCACGTGAACACACCTCGCACTTGAATGTGCATACGTGCCTGTTGCCTTCCTCCGTCCTCAGGGTCCTCCTGGATGATGTGGCATGGCTTCGGGCTGCTTTCCAGATTGGAGGCTGTTGAGGGAGGTTCTTGTCCTTTCTGCTGGCCTGTAAAGCTTTGTGCTTGTGCGGAGGCTCCGGTCCAAGGCGCGCAGAGAGCTTTATAAACATTAACGACGTAAATGGTGTGCTTTGTTTGTGGCAGGTGGGGCGTGATTCGCTGAGGCAGGATGGTTCCCAGCGAAGCCAAACCTGTTCTGGAAGTGAGTGGAAAGTTTCAGCGCTGTCGGGGACCTCAGGGCCACTGGGCCATTTGCCCCGTGACGTTCAGTGGGCGGCTCAGGATGGCAGAGATTCCTGGAAGACAGCCCCTCACCCCAGAAACCCCTCCCTCCCTGCATAGCCTCGTGCCCTGGAGCGGTATTGTTTTGGTCCTTTGGCAGAGCTTCTTGAACCGAGTTAAGAGGATCTCCTGCTGCCAGAAGGCTCCTTGCAGGGTTTTATTGAGCCCACACATAGCAGAGGCATTGAGGCTGCAAGTCATGTGGTACTCACTCACACTCACCCATTCAACAGAGCCTTCTGAGCTTCCAGTCTGGGCAAGGGCTGTGGAATCAGGGGCACGGAGACCAAGGAGGGGACAGTGACTTTCATGGAGGAAGTACTTGACTGAGCACCCAGAACGGGATCTGTAGGAGCCTAGAAAAGAGGGTTGGGTCAGGACAGGCTTCTTGGATGAGCACCGCTTCTGTTGATACCCAGAAGTATTTTAGTTGTAGGTTACAAAACCCCGACTCAAACAGGCTTAAGCCATAAAGAAAATAACACTGACTCAGAATGGGTGACTCCAGGAGGATCTGGCTTCAGGCATGACTGGATCAAGGGGCTTAGAGAAACACTTCATCTCTTGGCACTGTTTCTCTCCCTGCATTGACCTCATTTCCTCCAACCATAGGCAGAATTTCCCCTACTTGGTGGAAAAGATAGGACTTGGAAGCGCCCAGGGCCCATTCTTCTTCTGTTTGTATGTGTACTTAACCAATATTTACTGAGTGATGAACAAGACAGGATCCTACAGATTTAGCCAACAGATAAATGTAAGTTTATGCGCCAAAGACACGTGTGCAGGAATGTTCATTATAACATTGTTTATACTAACCAAAGACTGGAAGTGACTTAAATGGCCAGCAGGAAAGGACTGAATAAGTAAATTATGCAGTGGAAGACTGGACAGCCATTCAGAAGAATGAGGCAGATTTATATCAGTAATTCTCACTCAGACCAGCTTTACCCACCAGAAGGCATTTGGCAATGTCTGGAGACATTTCTGGTTGTCACAACTGAGTGGGGTGGGGCAGTGCTAGTGGCATCTAGTGGGTGGGCCCAGAGATACTGTTAAACATCCTACAGTGCCCAGCACAGCCCGCACCTTGAAGAACGATGCAGCACATGATATCTGTGGTGCCAAGGCTGAGAAACTCTGATCTGTATTCACTGATACAGAAATCTTTACAGTGTAAGTTAAAAAAAAAAGCACTGTGGAAAACAATAAATATAGTAGACTACCATTTGTGCAAAACAAGGAGCATATCTATATATGTGCTTATATATGCATAGAATTATCTCTGGATGAATAAATAAGAGAGTGGGGAGCTGTGTCTTGTGAAGGCCTGGGGGAGAGGTGTGGAAGAGAGATTTATTTTCACTGTACAGCTTTTTTTTTCCCACTGTTTGAATATTTTTAAACCACCTACATGGATTCTTTAAAAAATTAGAATAGAAAAAGGATGCAAGTTTGACCAGACCTCCCCACATTCCCTCCCTGGCCCCTTCCTAGCCACGTCTTCTCCCTTTGAGATGATTAGGTTAAGAGCAGTCCCACAAAGTCACAGTCGAAACAGATCTTGGAGATCATCAGGTCCTAGCAGTCATCATAAGGGTCGTGGAAATGCTGGATTTGATGCATTTCAGTGGGTGTTTTCAGGAGGACCTCTTAGAGCATTTAATGCAGAAGTATGAGTGGTGGTCTCTGACGGGGTGTGCGGTCCAGAATCAGCAGATGTCCTAACTCCTTTAGCAGTGTCCTCAGGCCACCATAACAGAGCACCGTGCACAGGAGTGGGGGCTTAAAACAACAGAAATCTGTTGTCTCACAGTTCTGGAGGCTCGGAGTCTGAAACCAAGGTGTCAGCAGGGCCATGCTCCCTCTGAAGGCTCTAGGGAGGAGTCCTGCCTTGTCTCTTCGTAGCTTCTGTAAGTCTCTGGCAGTCTTTGGCACTGCTTGGCTGGCGGCTGCATCCCTGTAGTCTTCGCCTTCATCACCACACGGCCTTCTTCCTGCGTGTCTGTCTTCACACGGCCATCATCTTCTAAGGACACCAGTCATATTGGACTAGGGACCCACCCTACTCCACTGTGACTTTATCGTAACTAATTACAATGACTCTATTTCCAAATAAGGAAATAGTCTGAAAGTCTGGGAGTTAAGCCTTCAACATATCTTTTCTGGGATGGACACTGAGGAGGACACCGTTTAATTCATAACAACTCCTAAGCACACACATATGTCAATAGTTTTTCCATTTCATTTCGAAAGACTACCGTTCCTGATTATGTTCCAAGAAGCGTGGATCTCATATAGTTCCTTCACTTTGCAGCTGAGGTGTCTTAGCCCCAGAGGGGTACAGTCACTAGCCTAAGATCACACAGCAGATCAGAGGCAGGGCTGAACTGAAAATCTAGGTCACCTCTCTTCTGGAAGAGTCAGTGAGCCCTGTCTGTCCTTGACAGGAGCTGCTCTTTGTATATGAGGTTGCAGTTGACTGGTGATCAAGATAGCGTTCATCAACCCATCATCTCACCCACGCATCCATCCACCCACCCACCATCCCACTACTTTATCTCCTAACATGTGGGCAGGGCTACCTGATGGAGCAGTTCCTATTTCTGTGGACACGGGTCTTATTTCTGAATTTTCCCAAGTGTGTTCTTTGGGACTGTGGGTTGTACTTGACAGAAACCACCATAGACTGATTGAAGTCAAAAGAGGGATTCGTTGGCTCATGGATCAGAGGAAGCACGGCTGGATCTAGGAGCTCCAGCAATACTGGCCTCCTCTCTCCTCCTCTCGGTCCTACTTCCTGTGTTGGCATCGTTCTCAGACGCATTTGTCCCCTGGCAGCTCCAGGCTCATCAGCATCCAAAGGAGATTCTTCCCTTTCCCCAGGCTCCCACCATGGTCCCGAGAAGGGCTTGCTGCCCACATCCCAGAACCCATTCAGCAGTATATGGTTTTCTGTTTGGCCAGACCTGGAGTAGGTGAGTGGGGTCAGCTCTACCTGAACCATGGTGGCTGAGGATGAAAGAGCACTCATTGTCCCAAAAGGTGCCAGTCAGGTGAAACACATGTGTCCACAGTGGTGTTATCTCTGCTGCCCCTTCACTGACTCTTCAGCAAATACACAGTTATTTACACTGGTGACTGGGCAGAGACTGAAGGGCCAGTGTGAACCATGGGCTGTTGGGTCTCCTCTGTGTTCCTCTATTCTCCTTTCACTCTAGTGGATGTTTGCTTTTCTGTCTCCCACCCATAACCAGACTGTAAACTCCTTGGAGGGCCCTGGCGTATTCTGCTTTGCAAATCAGCATCTAGCACAGCAGGCATAGAGTAGGTGCTCAGTAAATGTCCACTGAACTGGGACTCTTTCATAGAGCCAAGGATGTCCTAGGTACTTCATAAAATTTTCCTGAATGAA